ACACACAATGCACCCCTTGCACACAGAAAAACACACAATGCAATACACACACAGACACACATACACAAGCAATGCAACCGTTACACACAATGCATCCCTTACACACACAGAAACACACAATGCATTCATTACACACACTCAATGCACCCCTTACACACATTCAATACATCCCATGCATACACAGAAACACACCTTACGGCCTTACACATACAAACACAATTTCACACAATGCATTCCTTACACACATATCCAGGACATCCCACTCCACCCCTGTGAACAAACTCATTGGTGGAACATGAAGGGTGGACCCTGGGACTAGACCTTGAGCTGTGTAAGGACGAAATGGAGCTGCTTCAGTTCTCCAAGAACATTGATTTTGTGACCACAGTTACAAACCGCCTCCAGAGAGCCTGTTCTGCACCAGACCAGTGGAGCCAGACTGCAGCTAGAGCCCATCATCATCCTCATCTGATTGTAAGTAGGCAATCTAGTATATTATTCGTGGCACTAAGCTCTAATTTACCTCACATTAAAAAACACTATAGTCCCCAGAACCACTGCAGCTTAATGTAGTGGTTCTGGTGTCTATAGCCTGTCCCTGCAGGCCTTTTAATGTAAACACGGTGGCACTGCAGCACTGGCGTTAGTTAACATGGCAAATCATATGGCTGGGGCATTGTGATGTCACATGGGGGGCGGCAAACTTTACTTTTGCCTAGGGCGGCAAAAATCCTTGCACCGGCCCTGGCTGGAGGGGGCTGTGTGAGCTGTGGCGCACAGTGTCCCATGGTAGTTAGGGCCGTGCGGCCACAGCTCAAAGCAAACAGCTGATAAACTGGCCGCACGGAGGAAATGTGTATGTGTGACTGTCTGCCTGTGACTGTATGTGACTGTCTGCCTGTAACTGAGTGTGTGACTGTCTGTAACTGAGTGTGTGACTGTCTGCCTGTAAATGTGTGTGTGGGGCTGCAGGGATTTTTGTAGAAGGGGGCGGGGGTTTTGTATTGGGACAGGAGTCTTTACAAATTGTTAAAAAAAGAGAACCTTTAAAAATTTTACAGGTTTTGGGGGGGGTGGGGGGTGCCAAGCACAGGATCTGCCCCGGGTGCCAAATGCCTATAGTGTTAACACGACCATCTAGCCCCCCTGGGTCCCTCATGCCTCTATAAATATAGTAAAAATCTTACTGTATTCAAGCCAGAAGCTGTAAATCTGCATGCTGTTAGACTCAGGAAAAACAAGCAGTCTGCTGACATGTGATAGCCTGATCCAATCACAGTGCTTCCCCATGGAATTGGCTGAGACTGACAAGGAGGCAGATCAGGGGCAGAGCCAGCATGATTCAAATACAGCCCTGGCCAATCAGCATCTCCTCATAGAAATTCATTAAATCAATGAATCGCTATGAGGAAAGTTCAGTGTCTGCATGCAGTGGGAGGAGATACTGAATCACAGGATGCTCGTGCACAGCAGATCCGAGGCATATTATTATTAGAAGTCCCTCTGGTTCACTCTGAGTGACTGCAACTGGAGGTGTTCCTAGCTTTCAATGTAAACACTGTATTTTCTTAGAAAATACAGTGTTTACATGAGAAAGGCTGCAGGGAGCTATAGTTCTCACCTGAACAACCTCATTAAACTGAAGTTGTTCAGGTGACTATTGTGTCCTTTTAAAGGATTGACCTTACATTTGAGGGATGGCTGTTACAGTTTTGGAACTAAACCTTATATATTAGCCAGACCAGTGATGGTAGGAAAATTGTTAATGCCCCCTGTGCAACTACCACCAGCTTCTAAAGTAGAACATACAGTGTTCTTACGCCCAGAGATACCTATTATGCAATGGGTACCCCTAAGACACATAGGATAGGTCGTGCACAAGAGTCCAGTGTCATAAAATGGAAGTGGTACATACAGGAGAGAGCTAAAACAGGAAATAGTGGTACGGCTGTCCTACATGAGAAAATTGCAGATGCGCCGATACAAGATCCTGGTTATCTGCCAGAAGCAGACAAGCCAGGGGAAACTCCAATAACGTGGGGAAAGTCTTTTGCGCAACTAACACATGATCAAGCAAAGCATGCTTGGTTTACTGATGGTTCAGCAAAATAAATTGGTAATGATAGACAATGGAAATCAGTATCTTACAATCCAGAAACCAAGAAAATCCTGACTACATCAGGAACAGGAAGAAGTAGCCAATATGCAGAATTATATGCTGTGTTTCAGGCTCTGAACCAAGAGATGCCTGGAAGTTGTCATATATACACAGATTCTTGGTCTGCTGCCAATGGACTGGCTGCATAGTTTCCTACATGGCAGTCACATCAGTTCATGATTCATACAAAGAAAGTCTTGGGAAAAGCATGTTGATGCTCACTGCAATACTGACTCACTGGATCGTCTGTTTAACTCTGTTGCAGAAGAGAAAGCCAAGATCTCAGAGGCGTCCATTGAAGATTCTAACTCACTTTTGGGATTGGCTAGTTGGGCCCATCAGAAATGTGGACACTTGGGAGAGAAAGCCACTCACAAGTGGGCACAACAGCGAGGCATTTTAGTGCCGCTTGATTTAATTAAAACAGTAATTCTGCAATGTCCAGTGTGTCAGCATGAGCAGAACAGACATGTACCAGGGATGGTACGTGGTCAAATAAAAAGAGGAAAAGCACAAGGGCAAATATGGCAGGTAGATTACATAGCTCCACTTCCTATGAGTAACAATTGTCAATATTTATGCATGGCTGTGAATAAATTTTCAGGGTATTTATTGGTTCACACTTGCAAGAGGGCTACCCAAACAAAATCCTACTAAAATGTTGGAAACCATGATACAGTACTATGGTCTTCTATTACAGATTCAGAGTGACAATGGAAGTCACTTTAAAGGAAATTTGGTACAAGACTTTTGTGATGAAAACAATGTTGAATGGATATTTCACATACCTTATTATCCTCAAGCAGCTGGTCTGATTAAAAGGATGAATGGGTTGTTGAAACAACAATTGAGAAAACTTGGTGAAGGGACAATGCAAAAATGGAGAGATAACTTGCGTACAGCTGTGAACATCTTAAACAATAGGCCAATCTCAGATCATGACACTCCCCTCACTAGAATGATTGCACCTTATATACAAGCTAAACCATATGTAGCAACTAACATCATCATGGAGCCTTGGCAGCATACAGGGCTGTCCCCAAAGGCTGCAGGAATAGACTTGCGAGCCAGAAAGGAAGAAAGACTTCAAACAGGGCACGTTCAGATGTTCACCACAGGTATAGGAATACAGATACCACCCGGACACTTTGGACTAATTGCACCCATATCTAGCCTCACCCTTAAAGGGATACATGTAATGGGAAGGGTCAAAGATGCTGATTACCAAGGAGAATTAAAAGGTCCTTGTAACGGACCGTTTTGCACACAAGGGGTAAAAACCGTTTAGGCGATAGTCCCCCTTTCCAGAGATGCAGGCACAGCTACTGTAGAACACCAAACTCCCGAACCACCAATAAGGGAATGCTCCAAACTCCCGAACGGCATACAATTTAGCACTCCAAACACACGAACTGGAACTATACGAATCACTGCTAGCAGACGAATAGGAAAAGCATCCAAGCGGCTTACACTCCTAGCAATCAGTCTCTATCAGCATTCAGTAAATCACCCCAAAAGACGAGACAAGGCTCCATGTTGTGTGTCAAGCAGTGGTCTGTTTAATGAGGGCTACCTGCCCAGTATTTATGCAGGTCTCCCACCTGGTGGACACTCCACTAGGGGACCAAATGGGAGACTGGGAGACTGTGACAAAAGACAGACAATCAGCCAAACAGGACACACAGTCACATTATATTCCCACAATGCATCTTGGCTTCCTCCCCTCTGCCTTGGAGATAATTGAGAAGTAATTCAATTATCTCCCAAGACAAAGGCAAATCGCCATATTGCACGTGGGGATACTAACACACGAATTACTATTAAAATACCCTGTGTGAGACACATAACATTAAAACTATACATTTAACATATCCCCAGATAGCTCAGGGCATTATTAAGCGAATGGCGCTCAGACCACACAAATACAGTTTAATCGCCATGGAGCCAAAGTCTATACACAGTCAGTTTCATGCGAATGAGCTCCATGGGATTCCTATCTGAGGTATAACACATTCAAGCAAAACTACCGAACACCGGGCCGTTCGTGCACTTTCACCAAACAAGAAGGGAGGTCGGCGGCTTCAGCGGTGTTCGCTCAAAACTGTGTCCGATTTCCGTTCCATGAATTAAGCATCGAACACCGCTGTGCATTCGCATGTTTAAAATGGCCGCGACCTCGTGTTCGTAATACGAATGGTGGCCACCCAGCATTCGTCAATTGAGCTTCAGGGAGGCTAATTGCCGGCACACTCCAGCTCCCAGGTGGTCCAGTCATTCGTGCGGATGTTCGGTAGATTGAATCTACCGAACACCTGGCAGAAAAGAACGAATAAATATTTTCTGCAGGTAAAAAAGAGGTCTTTAAACATGGGGCCATAGTCTAAAGGCAACAGACGAGCAACCAGGCTTCTCCAATGCAATGTGGCGATATTGGTCTCGTCACATCTCTCCCCTTTTCCAAACAGACTAACAGGGTATCTGACCTCCTGCCGGTCAGTGCCCTTGTTAGTCCAGCAGCCCACCCACAAAACACAATCAACAGCACAGCCCACCCACAATAAATGGTTACTACACCTGGGTAGAGGAGAAGCTTGTCCATGTCCAGGTGCCTCACCACGGCTGGGTGGGTGACTGGTAGGCTGCTTTGGTGGGTTGCTGAGTGGGCAGAGACCAGCGGTACTCTGCCCTGGTGCCAACGCTACTGTGGAGGTAGCCTGGTTGAAGCCTGGTTGTTGGAGGGGGAGACCGACTGTCTCCCCTTTAGATACACAGCCCTGCTGCTGGAGACCGACTGTCTCCCCTTTAGACACACAGCCCTGCTGCTGGAGACCGACTGTCTCCCCTTTAGACACACAGCCCTGCTGCTGGAGACCGACTGTCTCCCCTTTAGATACACCGCTGGGCTGCCGGAGGGGGAGACCGACTATCTCCCCTTTGGCTAAACAGCCCTGTCGCTGGGGGGCAGAACCGACCGTCCCTACCCCCTGTGCTGTACGTGCAGAGACCACGGTCCCATCTGCACAGTTGTGGGGCTTACTGTCTCCCCCTGGTACATTAGGTTGCCACTGGGGAGGGAGGACGCTGCTCTCCTCTCCCTGCAAGGTACACTGCCACTGGGGGACAGGACCACTTGTCTCTGCCCCCTGCAGGGCCAGACTGGGGATACAAAGCAGCCCTGGAAAAAAAATTTGTGCCAGCCCCATAAGTCACTGCGCCATATATTGTCACGTGTAATATGTAAGGCTATGTCTTGCCATGACAGATGATTGAGTAATTATATATATATATATATATATATATATATATATATATATATATATATATATATATATTGCTTTTTCTAATATAAAATATTGGTCCGTTCAGGGTTAAACATTTAATTATACAGTAAGCATACTCACATGCAGACACAGGCAATTTCACTGACATCTCAATGACACACACAAGCTCATTGATACACAGCCTCATAGACAAACAATCTTACTGATATACATCAGCTCATTGACATAAAAACACAAGCTCACTCACTAGCAGGCACACGCATGCAAGCAAGCTCACTCACTAGCAGACGCACACACACAGCTTAATGTAGTGGTACTGGTGTCTATAGCATGTCCCTACAGGCTTTTCAACGTAAACACTGACTTTTCAGAGAAAAGGCAGTGTTTACATTACTTCAAAGTGACACCGCTAGTGACAGTCACTCATTCGGTCACTAGAGGCGCTTCCTGTGTCAGTGCACCTACATTCAGGGCCTCCACACTCTGCAGGTGCTGAACGTTCCCCATAGAGATACATTGATTCAATGCATCTCTGTGAGGAGATGCTGATTGGAGTGGCGTTTTGCAGCCAATCCTATGGCAAAGCATTGGATTGGCTGAGATCATCAAGCTTGATGATCTCAGCTATAGAGGCAGGGCCAGTCGAGGAGAGACCAGCACGCTGCGTGGGGGAAAAAAAGGTGAGCAAAAACACTATTTTTAAACACACATATACACGATGACAGATACAGAAACACACATATACCATGACAGATACACACCCCATGACAGACACACACACACCATGACATAGACAGACACACACACCATGACACAGACAGGCACACACACACACCCCATGACAGACAGACACACTCCCCATGACGGACAGACACACACCCCATGAGACACACACTCCATGACACAGACACACACCATGACGGACAGACAGACTCACCATTGACGGTCAGACAGAAACACAGACACCATGACACAGACAGACACCATGACACAGACAGACACACACACCATACAGACAGACAGACAGACACACACACACCAGACACACACACACACACCATACAGACAGACACACACACACCATACAGACAGACACACACACACACCATAACAGACAGAAACTCACACTGACACACATTACTAATACCTGCCAGGGGGAGGTCTTCTGGCGGCCGCTGGGGGAGGTCTTCTGGCGGCCGCTGGGGGAGCTGCGCTGGCTCTGCTCTCCCGCCCTCGCTCGCTGCTGAGTGAGAACGGGGCCGGAATATGACGTCATATTCCGGCGCCGGTCTCATTCAGCTGCGCGCTGGGGAGCAGAGCCAGCGCAGCTCCCCCAGCGGCCGCCAGAAGACCTCCCCCAGCGGCCGCCAGCAGGCCCAGGTGTCTGCCCGGCCCCAGGTGCCAACGGCCCACTGGGAAATTTCCCGGTATCCCGGTGGGCCAGTCCAGCCCTGGCCCCCTGTAACTCAGCCTGCCGCTGGGGAATGGAGCTTGGGCTCCCAATTCCCTGCAATTCACTCTGCTGCTGGGGGACAGAAGCAACTATATCTGTCCCCTGTAACTCAGCCTGCCGCTGGGGAATGCAGCTTGGGCTCCCAATTCCCTGCAATATCTCCCGCTGGGGAATGGAGCTCGGGCTCCCAATTCCCTGCAATATCTCCCGCTGGGGAATGGAGCTCGCGCTCCCAATTCCCTGCAATACCGGTGGAGAGACCTCGGTCCCATCTCCACCCGCCACCTGGGGTTCTTCCCAGTAATCCTCCGCAATATTTACCCAGTTGAATGGATCTGGGTCTCTGCTTCCCTGCTGAGCCTTCTCACTGGAGTGGAACAGATCTTGGTAGCCCTGCTCCAGCTCCATCTCTCGGGTCACCAGGTGGACCAGGTCTTGCTCAATTTCGTGAGTGTCGTCCCAGTCATACCTGCTCTCCCTCCACTCCAAGAGATCACTGAACCGGCTTGTGTAGGGCACCAAAACTCAGGCTCTGCGAAAGACTCCCATAACAAGCCAGGACCATCAAACTCCTCTCTCTCTGGCTTGTCATGCTCGGCTTCCAGTGCAGGTACTGTGCCCCATACCACCAGGGCGCCTCGTAGGCATCTTCCAGCCAAATCTCCTGCCATACTCGGAGCTCCAATTCCTTCACCCATTCATCCAGGGGCTGCTCTCCCAGAAAGGGCAACCGCAGGGCTACTCGCTTCTGCAGTCGCTGGTCTTCCTTGGGGAGACTCTCGCCCTGCTGGTACTCCACCATACCCAGTGCCTGGTACCAGATGCCTTTGCGCAGTGCATCTCGGTCATCCATGACACCCTCATCATACTCCACTGCTGGTTCCATCCTGGTGCTGTCAGGGTCGCTGTACTGGGACATGCGTTGCCCTCAAATTGTAAAATCCACGGAATGGTGTCACCAGTAGCTGTCCTTTTGTCTGTGGGAACGATCCCGCCGCTTGCCACCAATTGTAACGGACCGTTTTGCATACAAGATGCAGGCACAGCTACTGTAGAACACCAAACTCCCAAACCGCCAATAAGGGAATGCTCCAAACTCCCGAACGGCATACAATATAGCACTCCAAACACACGAATTGGAACCATATGAATCACTGCTAGCAGACGAATAGGAACTCGGAGCTCCAATTCCTTCACCCATTCATCCAGGGGCTGCTCTCCCAAAAAGGGCATCCGCAGGGCTACTCGCTTCTGCAGTCGCTGGTCTTCCTTGGGGAGACTCTCGCCCCGCTGGTACTCCACCATACCCAGTGCATGGTACCAGATGCCTTTGCGCAGTGCATCTCGGTCATCCATGACACCCTCATCATACTCCACTGCTGGTTCCATCCTGGGGCTGTCAGGGTCGCTGTACTGGGACATGCGTTGCCCTCAAATTGTAAAATCCACGGAATGGTGTCGCCAGTAGCTGTCCTTTTGTCTGTGGGAACGATCCCGCCGCTTGCCACCAATTGTAACGGACCGTTTTGCATACAAGATGTAGCTACTGTAGAACACCAAACTCCCGAACCACCAATAAGGGAATGCTCCAAACTCCCGAATGGCATACAATATAGCACTCCAAACACACGAATTGGAACCATATGAATCACTGCTAGTAGACGAATAGGAAAAGCATCCAAGCGGCTTACACTCCTAGCAATCAGTCTCTATCAGCATTCAGTAAATACCCCCAAAGACGAGACAAGGCTCCATGTTGAGGGTCAAGCAGTGGTCTGTTTAATGAGGGCTACCTGCCCAGTATTTATGCAGGTCTCCCACCTGGTGGACACTCCCCTAGGGGACCAAATGGGAGACTGTGACAAAAGACAGACAATCAGCCAAACAGGACACACAGTCACATTATATTCCCACAATGCATCCTGGCTTCCTCCCCTCTGCCTTGGAAATAATTGAGAAGTAATTCAATTATCTCCCAAGACAAAGGCAAATCGCCATATTGCACGTAGGGATACTAACACACGAATTACTATTAAAATACCCTGTGTGAGACACATAACATTAAAACTATACATTTAACATATCCCCAGATAGCTCAGGTCTGAGCGCACATTATTAAGCGAATGGCGCTCAGACTACGCGAATACAGTTTAATCGCCATGGAGCCAAAGTCTTTACACAGTCAGTTTCATGCGAATGAGCTCCATGGGATTCCTATCTGGGGTATAACACATTCAAGCAAAACTACTGAACACCGGGCCGTTCGTGCACTTTCACCGAACAAGAAGGGAGGTCGGCGGCTTCAGCGGTGTTCGCTCAAAACTGTGTCCCATTTCAGTTCCATGAATTAAGCATCGAACACCGCTGTGCATTCGCATGTTTAAAATGGCCGCGACCTCGTGTTCGTGATAAGAATGGCGGCCACCCAGCATTCACCAATTAAGCTGCGGTTAACCGCAGATTCAGGGAGGCTAATTGCCAGCACACTCCAGCTCCCAGGTGGTCCAGTCATTTGTGCGGTTGTTCGGTAGATGAATCTACCGAACACCAGGCAGAAAAGAACGAATAAATCTTTTCTGCAGGTAAAAAAGATGTCTTTTAACATGGGGCCATAGTCTAAAGGCAACAGGTGAGCAACCAGGCTTCTCCAATGCAATGTGGCGAGATTGGTCTCGTAAAACTTAAAACTTACATTTTCAGAATCAGCATACTCCAAATACAAACATACGTCAAAATCATGCAAATTGGTCCAGTGGTTCAAAGGATAGATCGTAGTCCTTTGTGACCAAAGGAAGCGTGGCTTTTCTGCCCAAAACCAGTTCCACAGAGTCTTCTATCCTGGAGATAATTAGAAGTAATCCAATTATCTCCAAAGACAGAGGCAAAACTCCATTGAACACATGGCAGCAAAAAGACAGTAAAATACAATAAAATACACAAGGTTACATTTATGACATAAAATACAGACATGCAACATATGCCCAGATAGCTTAGGTCTGAGCGCACATTATTACTGAATGGCGCTCAGAGCACACACATACAGTTCAATTGCCATGGAGCCAAAGTCTTTCCCATAGTCTTTCATTATACGAATGGGCTCCATGGCATAGCTATCTGGGGTATCACTGCTCAAACAGGGCAAGCACCAAATGACCCGGCTTTCTTGTCTTTGCAGGGGAAAATAAAGTCTTTTAACATGGGGCCATAGTCCAAAGGAAGCAGGCGAGCAACCAGGCTTCTCCAATGCAATGTGGCGAGATTGGTCTCGTCACAGTTATCATCCCCATTTACCGGGGACAGGTACACAAAGGAACTGTCCCAATCTCACAAGCAATAAGATTTACTAACCTAAATCCAGGGGGGGCAAAGTCTGGGTGAGGACAGAGCAGAGAAAGGTCCCCCAGAACCAGCAGACATTATTGCAACAGGCAATGATAATACCGTGATACTCTCCCAGTCAGGTCACGATAAATGGGAATGAGTTGTATCTTTACAGGCAAAGCTCCTTGGTCTGGCTGTTATTGTGATGGCTGTGATTTTACTCTACACCCTTTGGTCAGTTCAGATACCAGCAACGAGATTAGAGGTTGGGACCAGAGTGATTCCGCAGAGATGAGCTGGAAAGAGATCAAAATAAGAGTAACCTGTCTGACTGTTAACTGTCCAAACATGAGGGCGAGTTTGTATGGAGAAAGCTATTTCAGCCACAATGAAAATTAGACAATGACCTATATTAAGTTACCAAACAAATCATTTGATTTGTTAACATTAGAATCTACAACACCCTTTGGCTGCCGCATTCTATATACACATGTAAGCTTTAATATTTCTTCAGAAGTTATGCAAACCAACAGAGCAAAAAGCAAACATACACTATTATAGAGGATAGTGGTGCAACACACTACTGCACTAACAGTACCCCTGGCACCTTTCAAATAATAAATGGAATTGCGTGGTGTGTTTTATTATACTTTGCATTTATCTGTGCTACAAAATTACAACGTGCTGCATTCAAATAATGGCTAGATTAAAAATTTAATATTTTAGTATTGAGCTAGAAGAGCTTAATTAGGATTGTTAAGCAGGAATAGGTATATCCTAGGGTTTAAGCTACAGGTTTATCCTGTTCAAAATTGGCTAACAGGAGGAAGATTAGTGCTGGAACTAGTTGGGATGGTTGCACTGGTGGAAGTTAGTGGCATATGAGTGGTGGTTACATTAACAACTTGGGTATGAGACTCTACGACATTAGATTAATCACTCTTCTCAGACACAACTGGAGAGGCCAGTACTCGTGTTGTTTGGAAAAAAACATCAGTGGTGGACTGTCCTTAACAGGGAAATCATAGTCTAGCAGCAAAAACAGAGAATATGATAACTCTGAGAACAGGCAATAGCTTAGAGAAACTCAATATCTTGACATTTGTTATATCCCTGCTCGCTCAGGTCTGAAAACAGCTTTTGCTCACTTGTGCCATTAGAGAGTGAACCTATGCCATTTGCATGTCAGACTGATCCTGCTCAGGAAAATTCAGATCCAAAATGTCACAAGAGATACAACAATTCCGAACAATTGTCTTAGGCTTTTTTGGGTCTCATCAGCAAAGCCACTTCTGGATTGCCCTTTTAACTTAGGGAGAATCTATGTAAATGCATTGCAACAAAAACAGAGTATATGAGAACCCTGAGAACATTAGGATCACCTTCTTTGAGTATCCAAAGTCCAGGTCTCATACCCAAGTTGCTAATGCCACCACTTTTACGCCACTAACTTCCATCAGTGCAACCGTCCCAACTAGTTTTGGCACTAATCTTCTTCATGTTAGGTCAGGGACCACAACAAAAAACACATGCTGAAAGAGTAATAAGTTAGAGGCTGAAGCAAGGCAGGTAGAAGAAACTGTAGGATCTTTGCCACCCATGGCACCTGTCTTGCCACAGTGTGGGAACAATTTGTTACAATCGGTGACTGGCTACTCCTAGGAATGCAAACACTATGGCAGGGTCCTGCAAAATTACTCCACACGTCTTTCAGCTGACAGCCGTTGGAGGATCTCTTTAAGGTATAGTAGACAGCCCTTCATGCTGTTTAAGGAAACTGTTGCACCTCTATAAATTTCCAGAGTTTCCATCACACACCACTTTTAGCAGGAATTTAGGGCACTCATTCTATATGTTCCTGTGTTCTGGAGCTGAAAGGCTGAGGGCTAGTCAGTGCACTTCACAACCAATTTATGGAGTGTTTCTAGTGCCCAGCATGCCTTCCTGTCCTTAACAAATATTGGTGGCAGCCACCATAAGGTGTGGTGAGATGTAACCAGTTCAGAGGCAGGCAGCTCAGACACAGTGGCCAATGCATTGTTAGGCAAGCTAGAGTACAGTTTCTTTCTCATCCATGTTGAGGTGATGAATGAGCAGCAGAAAATGCTCAGAAAATATATTGCAAGCACTAAAAAAGTTGGGGGCTAGAACAGCAGGAAGAAACAAAGATTCAAATGGATTTTGTAGTGGCTGACAGAGCAGTAGTGGCTGATAGAGAGTCAAAGCTCTCCATGATAGTTTATTTGTAGGTAGTTATGTAATTATTTATACACTGCTCAGCCCATGCCCTTCAACTAGTAGTGAAGGCAGCTCTCATTGAGGAAAGCACTGGAAGACTGGCAATCCTTCTTGTGTCTTGTAGTAAGATCCCCGGCCACTTCCACCATAATGTTAAGCCATTTCCTGAAAAAGGAATAGAGGAAGGCAGGATTTCAGGATCTCCATCTTAAGCAAGACATAAAGAATATGTAGAACTCCACTTTGGAAGTACTGCAGCTCATTCTGGAGCAGCAGAAACGGCTTATGATAATAGGGATCATTAATTTTAGTTTTTTAAATTTACTTTTTTTTCCCTGTGTTCTGGTTTTCCCCCCTTTTTTTGTGCTGCTGCTTGATTGATTGGGGGAGTGTTCATTATTTGCACCTGTGTGGGATTTGTATCCCCATAAAGACACACCCCTAACTCACTGAGCTTGCTCACATTATTTGAAAGCAGCCTCTATTAAGTAGACTCTTTCAAGTAGGAGTTAGAAAACCAGGAGTTACTTGGAGTGGTTTGTATACTGTGGAGAGTGGTTTGTATTTTATTTTTGTTTCAAGGGGATATGAGTGTTAGCAAGATTGCTGGTTTAACTCAATGCACATCTTGTTGCATGTATGGATGCCTGGATGTACCCGTCCAGGGTCCATACCTCTGTGATGGTTGTGTGCGAGTGGCTTCTCTGGAAGCTCAGATTGGAGATCTCGAGAAGCAAATCGCAACATTGAGGGAGATTGACAATCTTGAGAGGAGTCTACTGCTCACTGAGCAGAGTTTAGTGGGGACAGGTAGTGGAGAGGGAGGAGATAAGACAGATGGGGAACAGGCATGTAGCTGGGTGACAGTGGGGCGAGGAAGCAGGGGGGGAGGGAAGAGGAAAGGGCTAGCTAGTCCTGATTTGGTGCAACCTAGCAGATTTGCCCGTTTGAGGGAAGATGTTGGGAGCATCAGCTCAGGAGTAGCTGTATTAGAGGAAGCTGTTACTTCTAACAGCCGAGCTAACAGCCCCCCTAGTACGGGTGGGGATCAAAATGTAAGGAAGGCAAGACAGGTTGTGGTGGTAGGGGACTCTATCATTAGGAGAGCAGATAGGGCAATCTGCCGCTCTGATCGGCTCAACCGGACAGTTTGCTGTCTCCCGGGTGCTCGGGTCCGGCATGTTGCTGACAGAGTGGATGGATTGGGAGGGGCTGGGGATGACCCAGCGGTCATGGTCCATGTTGGTACCAATGACAAAGTAAGAGGAAGATGGAAGGTCCTAAAGAATGATTTCAGGGAATTAGGTAGCAAACTTAAGAAAAGGACCTCCAAGGTGGTATTCTCTGAGATATTACCTGTGCCACGCGCTACAGTGGAAAGGCAGCGGGAGATTAGAGAGGTCAATGCGTGGCTTAAGTCTTGGTGCAGGAAAGAGGGTTTTGGGTTTTTAGAGCACTGGGCCGACTTTGCGATTGGGTACAACCTTTATAGTGGTGATGGATTGCACCTAAACGGGAGAGGGTCTGCAGTGCTGGGGGATAGGATGGCTAGAAGGTTGGAGGAGATTTTAAACTAGTAGTAGGGGGGGAGGGTCATAGCAATCTACAAAATGGAGATAGGACAGAAAGGAGATGGGCTTTAGCACAGTATAAGGGGGGTGGAAACGGGGGGAGGGGCAAGCTCAGAACAGAGAAGCTGTGTAATGTTGAAAATTCACAAAATATACAAGTGACGCATAATATTAAATGTATGCTTACTAATGCATGGAGCCTAAATAACAAAATGGGGGAACTAGAAGCATTAGCATACACTAAACAATATGATATAAAGGCATAACTGAAACATGGTGGGATGAGACACATGACTGGGCAGCTAACTTAAATGGGTACATGTTATTTAGGAAGGATAGGAAAAACAAGAAGGGTGGTGGGGTATGTTTGTATGTCAAACATGATTTAAAGCCAAATGTTAAGCAAATGGAATGCGAGGAGGATAATGTGGAAGCTTTATGGGTAAATATCTGCTTGGGGGAAAGAAGGGAAACCAACTATTGGTTGGGATATGTTATAAACCACCTAATGTTAATATTGACGAGGAACAACAGCTGTTTGAGCAAATTGAGAAAGCTGCAAATCTGGGTAACACTTTAATTATTGGAGATTTTAATTACCCGGATATAAATTGGGACAGAGGGACTAGTGCCTCAGCAAAGGGAATTAGGTTTTTAAACTTGTTAAATGACACCTTCATGTCACAACTTGTGCAAGCACCAACTAGAATGGATGCTTGTCTGGACCTGGTTTTAACAAACAACGTTGATCTTTTGACCAACATTCAAGTAGGTGAGCACTTGGGAAATAGTGATCACAATATAGTGTCCTTTGAAATAAACTCAAAAAAACAAAAGCACATGGGGAATACTAAAACATATAATTTTAAAAAGGCCAATTTCAATAAGTTAAGGGAAGCTTTACAATATATTGACATATATAGTGAAAAGAATACGGAGGATAAATGGATCATCTTCCAACAAATATTACAAAGGTACATTTCTCAGTATGTACCGTTGGGAAATAAATATAAAAGAAACAAATTAAAACCAATTTGGCTTAGTAGAGAAGTAAAACAAGAGATTACAACTAAGAGAAGGGCATTTAAAGCATTTAAATCGGACAAATCAGATGCATCTTATAAAATATGCAAATAATGCGTGCAAAAAGGCAATTAGACTTGCTAAACTTCAAAATGAAATAATGATAGCTGACGAGAGCAAAACCAACCCCAAAGCATTTTTTAAGTACATAAATTCTAAAAAAAAACAAAATGAAAGTGTAGGTACACTAAAAACTGAAACGGGGGTGTTAATTAATGAAGACCAGGAAAAGGCAGGAATTTTAAATAACTATTTCTCCTCCGTATATATTAAGGAAGAACCCATGGCAATAGATGTGCAAATGATTGCTACTAAAAACTTGCAGAATAATTGTAATTGGTTAACTCAAGACAAGGTGCTGCAGCAACTAAAGAAAGTTAATATAAACAAAGCTCCAGGGCCTGACGGTATCCATCCACGTGTACTTAAGGAACTAAGTGCAGAAATAAGTGAACCTCTGTTTTTAATCTTTCAAAATTCTTTTCTTTCAGGAAGTGTTCCGGAGGATTGGAGGAAGGCAGATGTGGTTCCTATATTCAAAAAGGGTTCAAAATCCTTGCCTGGAAATTATAGACCTGTGAGCTTAACTTCTGTGGCTGGTGAAATATTTGAAAGGTTATTAAGGGATAATATTCAAGAATTCCTTGAGAAGAACATGGTTATCAGCAAAAATCAGCATGGTTTTATGAAGCACAGGTCATGTCAAACTAACTTGATTGCGTTCTACGAAGAAGTAAGTAGAAGTATAGATCAGGGTGTTGCCGTGGATGTGATCTATTTGGATTTTGCCAAGGCATTTGATACAGTTCCACACAATAGATTAGTGTTCAAACTCAAGGAAATCGGTCTAGATGAAAATGCTTGTTCTTGGGTAGAACATTGGCTTAAAAACAGAGTACAAAGAGTTGTCATTAATGGTAAATTTTCAAGCTGGACAGAGGTGGCAAGTGGTGTCCCTCAGGGGTCTGTTCTGGGACCCCTTCTATTTAACATGTTTATAAATGATCTTGAAGACCGCATTGAAAGTCATGTTTCAGTGTTTGCAGATGACACCAAACTTTGTAAAACAATACAATGTGAGCAAGATATTACTATGCTGCAGAGGGATTTAGATAGACTGGGGGACTGGGCACTCAAATGGCAGATGAAATTTAATGTTGAAAAATGCAAAGTTATGCACTTCAGCGTAAAGAATACACAAGCAACGTATACCCTTAATGGAAGCGAATTAGGGATAACAACACATGAAAAGGACTTGGGAATTGTTATAGACAACAAACAATGCAACAATGTGCAATGTCAACCAGCAGTGGCCAAGGCCAGTAAGGTATTGTCATGCATGAAAAAGGGCATTCATTCTTGGGACAAGAATATAATTTTGCCTCTTTATAAATCACTGGTAAGACCCCATATTGAATATGCTGTGCAATTTTGGGCACCTGTTCTAAAGAAGGATATTATGGCACTAGAAAAAGTGCAGAGGCGGGCTACAAAATTAATAAAAGGAATGGAACATATCGGCTATGAAGAAAGGTTAACAAATTTAAACCTATTTAGCTTAGAAAAACGTCGCCTGAGAGGGGATATGCTAACATTATACAAATATATTCGGGGCCAATGCAAACCATTGTGTGGAAATCTATTCACAAACCGGACTTTACATAGGACACGAGGCCATGAGTTTAGACTGGAAGAAAGAAGATTTCATCTAAGGCAAAGGAAAGGTTTTTTTACTGTAAGAACAATCAGGATGTGGAATTCTCTGCCTGAAGAAGTGGTTTTATCAGAGTCCATACAGATGTTCAAACGGCTACTAGATGCATACTTGCAAGAACAGAATATTCAAGAATATAATCTTTCAATGTAGGGTAATAACTGCTTGATCCAAGGATAAACCTGACTGCCATTCTGGGGTCAAGAAGGAATTTTTTTCCTAGCTTGTTGCAAAATTGTGCTTCAAACTGGGTTTTTTTGCCTTCTTTTGGATCAACAGCAAAAAACAAATGTGAGGTAGGCTGAACTTGATGGACGCAAGTCTCTTTTCAGCTATGTAACTATGTAACCAGGGCCAGATTAAGAGCCCAGTGGGCCTGGTGCTGACAATTATGATGGGGCCTAATTACAGAATCTTATCAACCAAAAACACTAAAACAGTCATACCTCTCAAGAGTCATGTATCTGATGGAGATGGTGTTGGAGGGAAACTCAAAGGATGCAGCTATAAGAAAACACATACTCTATGCTAATCTCTCTCCAATTTATGCTTTCATCTTTCAAGTAAATCCATACCCCCTAACAGCAGTGTCCAGTGAAGCAGGAAGTCAATGGGCGGGGTAAAAGGGTGGGCCACTGATGCGAATCACATGACCAGAACAGCCAAAAGGGGCAAACATGCACAAAAAGGGGGCATGTTGGTCCAAATAATTGGAAGGCCAGCCTGGCATCAGTGTCCCTATGTATCACAGTGTCAGTGTCCCCATGTCGCCCAGTCCCCTAGTCTCCCAGTGTCTCAGTGTCCCCATTTCCCCCAGTGTCCCAATGTCTCAGTGTGTCCTGTGTCACTAGGATACTAGGGGACACAGAGACATGGGGACACAGTGAGACATGTTAACACTGAGCGATCCAGTGACACTGAGACACTTGGGGACACTGGGAGACATGGGGGCACTTGTGGATCAAGACATGGAGACACTGGGAGAAAGGGGGACACAGACACTAGGGACACAGAGACAGACACAGACACTGGGAGACATGGGGACACAGACATTTGGCGACACTAAGACACCTGGGGTCACTGAGAGACATGGAACACAGACACTGGGAGACTAGGGGACACTGGGAGACATGGGGACACTGAGACACTAGGAACACTGGCTGGGAGGCATGGGGACAAAGACACTTGGGACACTGGGATACATGGGGGCATTGTGGACATAGACATGGGGACACAGACATTTGGGGACACTGGGAGACATGGGGACACTGGGTACACTGAGAGACATTGGAACACAGACATTTGGCGACACCAAGACACCTGGGGTCACTGAGAGACATGGAACACAGACACTGGGAGACTAGGGGACACTGGGAGACATGGGGACACATACACTAGGAACACTGGCTGGGAGGCATGGGGACAAAGACAATTGGGACACTGGGATACATGGGGCACTTGTGGACATAGACATGGAGACACTGAGACATTTGAGGACACTGGGAGACATGGGGACACTGGGTACACTGAGAGACATGGGAACACAGACACTGGGAGACATGGGAACACTGAGACACTGGCTGGGAGACATAGATACATGGGGACACTGAGAAACTAAGAGGCATGGGGACACAGACACTGGGAGACTAGGGGACACTGAGACACTAGGGACACTGGCTGGGAGACACGGGAACACTGGGAGACATGGAAACACTGTGTCCCTAGTGTCTCCGTGTCACAATGTGTCTCCCAATGTCCCTATGTTTCACAGTGTTCCCATGTGTCTCAGCGTCCACATGTCCCCATGTGTGTCAGCGTCCCCATGTCTAGTGTCTCAGTATCCCCATGTTTCCCAGTGTCCCCATGTTTCCCAGTGTCCTCATGTGTCCCCTAGTCTCTCAGTGTCCCCATGCTGCCTTTCCACCCATTCTTCACTTACCTGAGCTGTAGGCTGTCTCTGCAGGCTGGGAGCTGCTGTCTGGACTCTCTGTGCTGTGTAGCTGCTCCCCTGTGGATCAGTGAGTAGAGAGAGGCAGGGAGGGATATGCTGTAACTTCCTATCCCTGCCTCTCTCCACACACAGTGACCCCTACTGGCTGGTGCTGGTATTGCAGAGTAATCTCCGTTTATACTGAGAAAAATATCTGCATTTGTATTACTGCAATACAGGCATGGCCAGCAAGCCTCAAATAAATACATAAAATACCAGTCAGGTTGCAAACCTAAGAGTAGTGTGTAAAAAAAAAAAAAGTTATAAAAAAAGTGGGTTTTTTTTTATGGGCCTATTTCATGGGCCTGGGCCTGGAGCTGCAGCTCCATCAGCCCCTATGTTAATCCGGCCCTGTATGTAACTATAATTAGCCTATTTGGCAGAAAGGAGGAGTGGCAGTCGTTAGGCCTTTTAGGGATTAGTTAAGTTATCCCCTTGTTCACCTGCCATTCAAACAAAATGTATTTCTAATTGGTAAGTAGTACCTGTTGGCTAATTACTTGATGATCTTGCTGCACTTGTCAGAACACTGTCAAGTTGCAATGGATGCACTGTTTCAATGAGTGCATTTAGCAGCAGCATCGATCTAAGATGCTGGTTAGTTTGGTGGGACCCATCAAACCTCCCTCAAGGAAAGAAAGTAGCCCAAATGGCAAACCTCCTTTGAGCTTCTGGGATGACATGCTCAATGTTTAGCTTGCTCTCCTCTCTTGTTCCCAACCACTGTCCAGAGTGAACACGTTTTTTCTGTTACCAGCAGTATACTGTTATACTGTGCCTTCAGCCTCACAACTGGCAATGCAGCTAATAGAGCAAATAGCGTTTTGGAAATTTAATCTGCCAAAGTTAGCTTATGCCACTCTCAGCTTTGACACAGACTAAACATCATCTGTAACCCCCTAGTCTCACCATCTGCCATAGTAAGATCATTGAAGGTATGATGGCTGGATATTTACTTAGGTTGAATCTTTCAACAGGTGGATACTTGAATTGTTCTAATGAGCACTTAATTACATGAACAGACATGCATCATGTAATGCTATCATCAGTCCTCATTTGTTTGTGTGATGCATATCATGCGTGATGACACATCTTGTACTTGTTTGGTTGAAGTGGGGCTGCTAATACATATTATGACTCAATCTCAACAACAGTGTTTATTTTTTTTTTCTAGTGTTATGAATGGACTCAACTTTTATAAAAGTCCTTCAAATAATTTCATGGAATAGGTAGTAAAATATTTCCAAACACAAAAAAATGTAAGCCAAGTGCTCTAACTCCCACAAACAAAGTGGTTACTATTTCTCCCGCATCCCAAACCAAGCACTAGTAAGGCAAGTAAGTAGTGCCACCACCAGCAGGCCAGACAAGGAACATGGGTATCATGGCACTTCTGCAGCAGTTATCAGTGGAGATAGTGCCATTATTTATCCTAGGCAGTCCGTACAGGCCACCCAAGAACAGGCAACAGTCCTACAAAATTACTCCACACACCTTTCAGCTGATAGCTGTTGGAGGCCCTATTTTTTAAATAGTAGGCATCCTTGAAAACAGTTTATGGAGATTGTCATTTGATTACTTATTGTCAAATCTTGGTTGTAGTGGTGCTGTTAATACATATTTTTACTTAATCTACAAAATTATCTCGGTTTCTCCCCCGACAGTGTCAGTGGTGTGGAAACACCTGCTACTGTCCCCCAGCGCAGCCGTTTAATTGCTATGGCAATGTATTTGCTTTCTGGATGTTTGTTGCCAGCTAATGAATCAAGGAATGCAGAGTATTTGCCCTTGGGTAGAAATAGGTGAGTGGGTTGTTAAATGTCCACTCACGCCCCATTTTAATATTTTCCATTTGTCTCTCTTTACTTTTAAAATCCCTTCCAATGTTCTTGCAACGTGGTTCTTGTTTATCCCCTCTGCACCAGCAGTGTGGTGCAGCCAGTTAAATCGGCCATGACATGGCATTTGCACTCTGGATGTCTGTTGTCTGCTAAGAACTGAAGGAGTGCAAAGGCTTTGCCCTGGGGCAGAAACAGGTGAGTGGATCGTCAATTTTGGTTTATGGTAGTTTTCTTAATAAAGTACATTTTTTTTTTTTTTTTTTTTTAATTTCCAACATTTTTCAGAATTGTTTTTTGTGTCTCTCCTCTGACTACATCTGCTTACAAGCAAATCAATCAAAGAAGGCTTTTCCCGCTTTAAAGACTCATTCTGCACAGAACTCTTGCAGAGCGAAGATGGAATCATTTTTATTGTATCACAGTTTGAATTTTTTAATTAGGTTTTCCTTTTATTTTTAAGAGTTGTGTTTGCGTATAATGAATTTTAAATTTGCCATTTTTGGGGGTAGAAGAATAGAAGATTTAGAATAAAAGGAAACAAAATATGACTTGCCAGCCAGCTGCCAAATTAAATAGTTAACAAAAAAATAACACCCCCATATTACTATAAGCTAGGTAGCTCACCTCCCTATGCCTCTACCTGCCATGCAATGGCAACTTTTTAAAATAGCAAAGGCTCCATCTCATGTGCATGGAGTCTCTTTCCCCATGGGTATTGAGAAGGGAAATTTAAAAAAAAAGTACAGGGGGGGGGGTGAAGAGATCAGGTGAGTTTTTACTCTATTTAAGGTGGGCAGGGGTGGTGGGGTCACCTAAATATTGTTTTTAATGCTTTAAGGTCAGGAATATACAAATATACATTTGACCCTATAGTGTTCCTTTAAGATGTAGAGGGAGATGATAAAATTAAACTAAAAAAAAAAAAAAAATATATATATATATATATATATATATATATATATATATATATATATACACACATACATACATATATACACACACACACACACACACACACACACACAACAAAAAACAAAATTATAAACTCAACACTTGTTTTTGCCCCCATTTTTCACAAGCTGAACTCAAAGATCTAAGACTTTTTCTATGTACACAAAAGGCCTATTTCTCTCAAATATTCTCTCAAACTCATTTATGTTGTTTTGATATCAGCTTAGATATTTATTCTGAAAGGAGTGTAAAGAGGAAATAGAACAGTCTTGTCATACACGCACACACACAAAATGCATGAATAAAAAATAGAACTTCATATTCCAGCAAGTTCATCCAGTGTAAGCTGTATCCTGAGACACTGGCTCAAAAACCCAAGATATATGCACACTTGCAACGTCTGGTACGCTTGAAAACCAGAATTCCTGCACTGCTATAAAATTGTTTCGAGATCTATCTGGTAGTTGGCATCTGGAAAAAAAAAAACATACATTAAAAAAACTTGACTCCTCTGCTGTCATTTAGTGTAATCATCTCTGCTTTATGTTCTAGCTGCAAGGCTTCCAATGACCGAAGTAGCATAGCCTCTTCCAATCCATGAAACTCTGTGTGGGTGAAAAAAAAATAAAAAAAAATTAGAAACACACTAAATCTTCCAATGAAAAGTACAGTGTCCTGTAAGTTTTAATTACAATCAAATTTATGAACAACATGACCAACATCATGCATTTAAACTAAATAAAACTATTTTCTGTAACATTTTTGGGCAGATTTCTGAAACTAATAATGCATTGATTGTGGGTTATTGTGGAAGTTTATTGCTTTGAAGTTCCTTGTTACTTATACATGAAACACAATACTGTGTTTTACTACTTTCAGGCTCTGGGTATTCCTCATACATCCTGCTTGTTGCGATTTTTTTTATGGGGACTAGAACTCTTTCGTCAATAAGTGAAGAGTATATGCAGATATCACAAAGCACACCAGCAAAACCACTCACACTAATATGCTGTTGTTCCAAAGCAATATAACTTGCAGTAACATGCATAGCCCATTAGTGTATCACAGAGCTCCAAAGTAATAAAACTGTGAGTAACGTGCAATCTATGTAAGTGTATCACAGAGCTTCACCATTTTGGTACTGACAGTCATTTGGTGTCTTGTGTTGTGAATTCAGCCATCCCACAATTTTAATTATATTTAATTTGATTGTAAGTGATTTTTCCTTCTCTCGTGCTAAGGGATTGCATGACACCCTGACTTCCTTTGGGACTATATATAGAAAAAGTTAGAAAGTCGGGTACATACATTGAAGTGATATTCTTCCCATGGGTACTTTGATAAGGTGAATGGGGTGGTCTGTGAGGGAGTTTATATTTTGACTGAATTGTTCAGAGAGGCATATGATTTTTAACCACAGGGGGAGTGTGTGTATATAACCTGAATGAATATTTAGTTATGGGCCCCTGGGGTGGAGCATTTGGAGAGCAGGGTGGGCCAGTGCTCCACTCCGCAGTTTAGTGGTTTTCTTGGGAGACATTGATCCAGGCCAGGGTTTTTGGACTGTCTCCAACCCACTGCTCAGCTGCAGGTGATCATCTGCAGCAGTGGGAATAAACCCCTCCCTGCTGGGCAGGTAAAAAGAGAGGGAGAATGTTTGTTTCTCGCTGGAAGGAGCAGGCTGACTAAGCACTGGAGTGCAGAGAGCTGACAAAGACACTAGGTTGGTGAAACCAATATTGTTTTTGTGATGGTAGTCACCATCACTGGGGATGGAAGACAAATTCCTTTTGTGTTTTGTCACATTGTGCCTATTATTTGTGCAGGGTATGTTGAATGTATTGCTGGTCTGTGCATATCCCCCCTTTTTCCTGTCCTATTGTTTCCCCAGCAGGGTGTTGTCCCTGGGACACTGCCAGACCAGTTTAAACTAGCTGTTCTGTCCCTCCTCAATTTCCCATCAGCCCTTGCTATTGTCTGACCCCACCCTTCCTGGTACTATAGTAATCTATGTAACCTATTGTATGTAAATTAGGCTGTTGGGGGCTTAAACTATGTGTGCTGGATTCATTAAAGAGTTGCTGTTTAACCTTCACCATGTGTCGTCTGGTGTTTGGTTCAGGGTGGAAAAGGCCCTAAGTCATCCCAGTCAAGCCTCGGCGTCTGGGTCTGAAGTGTTTCAGGGTCCCTGATAGCTACAAGGAAGCAGACTTGGCGGAGGTTCTCGGTTGGGAGTACTGGAGCTCTGTTACATTGGTTGGCAGCGGTGGGATGGCTTCCTAATAGCTGCAGAAACGTCCCTGGACACCGGCGCCTCTACTGGGATCCCACTGTGCTTTCTGGAATTCATGGAAATGGACAGAGCTAGCACCCGTGCAGCATCCCCATCTGAGGAGGAGTTACATCGGAGGCTACAAGCAGCTCTGTCCCAGTACGATGGCCCTTTCTTAACAAAGGGTGAACTGGACCGGCGGGACTCTATCCGTTTGGATCTCTGGAACAATGTTCTTGAGGAGGTTTGTTGTCTCAGGGGAGAATCCCTCCCAACCATTATGCAACGATTTTGGGATCAAGTTGATTTGCGGATGCAATTCTTGGGAGAGCAGCCCCTGGCAGAATGGGTGTTTAAATTAGAGGAGCTGGTACAGAAAGAATTGTGGCTGGATGATTCCTACAGGGCCTTAAGGTGGTATGCAGTCCAGCAGTACGCATTTCTAGCAGATGATGACCCTCCAGAGGGTGAGGACTATGATGGCCCTGGCCTATTGTGGGAGGCCTTTGAGGATAAAATTGAGTTGGGAAGTCCTGAGAGGTCCCGGCTTTATGACATTAGGGAAAATAGGGAACACCTACTGGATCTCTCAGAAGCAACTGACCTGGAACCTGATTTGACCCACCTGGCCACCATGGAGTGGGAGCTTGAACTGGATGACAAGCAATTGTTTGACTCTGCACAGCAGCAGGTACCAGAGACTGGGGATTTAATAGACCTTACATCTGAATATGTTGGTCAGGTAGATGTGGAAGGAACCGTATTCTCCACACCTGAATCACGCGGATACTTGACAGCCATCCCAGATCTACCAACTCCTGGCATGGAAACTCATGCAGCAGAGATAGAGGTTGTCGGTCTCCCCCTTCAGCAGCAGATTGAGTTACTGGGAATAGAGGTAGTCGATCTCCCTCCCCAGCTGAAGTTTGCGTTACAGGGAGAGGAGGCAGTTGGTCTTTTTCCCCAGCGGCAAAGTGTAACCCCAGCAGAAGAGCTGGCATCAGGACCACTGGCCCCTGGCCTCAACTTGCAGCAACGCCGGAAGTTAAGAGCAGGGAGGACAGCCTTTCGGTGATGGTGGAACTTGAGGAGTACACCACCACCCCAGCTGAAGTGCTGACATTGAGTCAGAGCGCTGCTGGCCTCTGTGCCCAACTTGCAATGACGCTGGAGTTGAAGAGCAGGGAGATCAACCTTCTAGTGAAGGTGGAGTTCAAGGAGTGCGCAACTCCCCCAGCTGAAGCGCTGGCATCGGGGCAGAGCTCCACTTGCCTCTACCCAAACCCACTGGTAACCCGCGAGCCTCAGGCATCAGACACTGCTGGTCCCACGGAAGAGCGGATCCCAGAGCAAAGCATGGCTAACCTCAGCCCTTTGCCACAAGCACTGGGGAATTTCTATCCAATACAAATGGATGGGACTCTGGTCTCTACCTGTAGTCCCTAGGAAGGCTGGACAATGAGCTTCGATCCCCAACCCCATGTCAGAGGGAGCCCAGCCACCCTGTCTTCCCTCCAGCGGCTGAGAGAGATCCAGGGAGACAGGACAGTGGGCACGCATCGCCAGGTATATGCTTTAGTAGATGCAGAGGTCGGCTGGGTAAGTGCTGCTCTTCCATGGGCAATTTGTTTGGGGTACCGTTTCAGTGATGGCCTTGATGATCAGGATGTAGTCACTAACTTCAGAGTCAACTTGTCTGGGCTCTCCTGTATTGGTCTCCTTCTGAAGGGGGAGAAATATGCTGGAAACTATTCTGAGCTGGAGATACAGGGTTCCAGAATTGCTATTGGGGTCTATTTGGGTCACAGTGGCCCCCTAAGAGTGGAGTCATATGGGGATAGGTTTGAGTTTGGGAAGGGGGCCGTGGCAGATTCACTGGGAACTCCCTTTCTCCACTTCCAAGTCCCCTCTTATGTCTAAGTCACCCTGTGCTTATTAGAGGCACAGGGTGACCGAGAAGCCCAGTCTGGCCTGCCCAAACCAGACTTCCACAGACTGATCGGCGATGAGGGCTCCATGCTCCCAATCGGGACAAACTTACAAACTATGTGGAACTTTGGCGAGAAGGCTGCCAGGATGGATGGACTTTTTGGGACTTATTACCCGACTAACTCAGGCACAGACTGATTGGAGGTCTGGTACCTGGTTAGTCTACCTTTGGGGGGGAAGATATGTGACGGTAGTCACCATCACTGGGGATGGAAGACAGACACTATGGGTGGGCTCCCAAATTCCTTTTGTGTTTTGTCACATTGTGCCTATCATTTGTGCAGGGTATGTTGAATGTATTGCTGGTCTGTGCATATCCCCCTCTCCCCGTTTTCCTGTCCTATTGTTTCCCCAGCAGGGTGTTGTCCCAGGGACACTGCCAGACCAGTTTAAACTAGCTGTTCTGTCCCTCCTCAATCTCCCATCAGCCCTCGCTATTGTATGACCCCACCCTTCCTGGTACTATAGTAATCTATGTAACCTATTGTATGTAAATGAGGCTGTTGGGGGCTTAAACTATGTGTGCTGGATTCATTAAAGAGTTGCTGTTTAACCTTCACCATGTGTCGTCTGGTGTTTGGTTCAGGGTGGAAAAGGCCCTAAGTCATCCCAGTCAAGCCTCGGCGTCTGGGTCTGAAGTGTTTCAGGGTTCCTGATAGCTACAAGGAAGCAGACTTGGCGGAGGTACTCGGTTGGAGTACTGGAGCTCTGTTACAGTTTTGTTATAGTTTAACCCCTGAGAGACAGGGAATCTGATGTTAGTGCTCAGACGAGCTAGATTTTTGTTTATAGAGATTTGTGTTACATTATTGTTTTTTTTTTTTTTTCATTTGCTGTCGTCTCTGTGGTGAAGCTCAACAATAAAGTGCCTGGAATTAAGTTACTTTTAAAGAATGTGCATGTTTTGTACCCAAAAGGACCGTGCTAACTGCAGACAAGGATAAACAGTACATGGAAGTCATTTTAGCTTTCTTGCAAATTAGATTGAAATGCTTCAAGGTGGATTGGATAAGGGATTGGCCATAAATATATTAAAGTGTAAGATTTTGGCACATTTGGTGCTCTTCCACTATAAGCTGGCTACTTGTCTGGAAATCCAGAACTTTGTGCAGGCTCTGGTACAGATCAATCCTTTGGCATGGCTTGCAACACTTCCTTGGAAGTAATCAAGCCATCAGCAACCTGGTGATCAAGCTATGCAATATGTTTCTTTTATGCTCATTCCACTCAGGTGGTTGCTACCTCTAGGGCATTTTACAATAAAGTTTTTTTTGGACCAAATCTCCAAGTCAGTCACTTGGTCATCCTTTCATATATATTCCAACTGTATTACTTTGATGTTTTTGCTTCTGCTGACACTTAATTTGGCAGGAAGGTGTTCTTTGCAGTTGTTCCTGTTTAATCAGTCACTACACCCCCCACCCCTCCCCCAGGTGCTTTATGTTTTGCTCTGCCTTTGTATAAGATCCCACACAACTCATGTGCTCTCATAATTTTTTGGGTCCGAGGAGGTGGTGGGAGGACAATAGGTCTCTCCCCCCCCCCCCTCCTTTTCAATTAGGGCGCCCACCAGCTGCTCATGGGTGGGGGCCAAGGGGGACCCTATGCATAGTCCCCACTATGCATAGTCACCACTCGCGGGGCACGTGTGGGGGTTAGGGGGACACTATGCCTCCCAGCTAGTTAATAGAGGCCCCACCATGGGGTTACTTTTTGGAAGGGGGGTTCTTTTTTACAACAGTAAGCAGCCACAGGCTGCTCACTGTTTAATAGACATTTTAATCTCCCATATGCTAATATGGGGGTCATATTGGCCCCCATAGAGTGAGGGAACACATGGGGGGCTTAGGAATTGGCGCTTCTATTTTTCATTTTACAAGGTCGGAGCTGTGTGGTGGTAGCTGCCTCCTTGTAATAAACTAGACGAACGAACAAATGAATATTCGGTGTTTGTTTGTTCATCTGAAATTTCTATTCATTCGTCTTTCTGACAAATAAATAGACTAAATTACAGAGGCGAATGCCCAAGTGTTTAACTGGGTATGAGCAGGAATTTCACAGCGCTATCTAGTGTTGGCAGATGACGTGTCCCACAGGGACTTCTACCAACACAAAGATGGCGGCGCACAGGACCTAGGTCTGAGCACAAATTAAAAATTAATAAATAAGTAATATGGGGGCTTATGTACATTTGGGGGTGGTTAGGGGGACAATTAGATGTAGTGGAGTGGGGGGTGGGGGGGAGTTAAAAAAAACCAAAAAAAAAAACCTGGATTCTGCCATTACAGTGCCGCTTTAAGCAATTTGTTTAAGATCTCAAAAAACTAATCAGGGCAAACCTACAACCGGAAACCGAATCTGGTATTTTAGCCCAGAAAAGTTATGAAAACTAATAATTAAAAGTAGCACAAATATTAAACTCTGATTTTGCACATTCCAACAATACTTGGAAGAAAAATTATTTTGTATTTTTTGGAAATGCAGTTAACAATTTATCTATAAATGGGTTATGCCACACAAGTTCTGCTTTACCTTCTCCCACTGTGTCATCACCACTTATCAGCTCATAGAGTGTGAATACAGAATTTGTCATTCCATTTTTTGAAACCTAAAGGAGAGAGAACAGAAAATCAGTTTATCACTGAAGAAATATTTTAACATAACATTTACAGTTTACTATACCTGTTAAAATGATACTCTTAGCAGCTAAATACACTACAGCTAAAAAAGGAAGCATACTGCAATGTCTCAGATCGTGAAATATTGTCACATAAAAAAAGTCCCCTACAAATAGGCATACGTTAATCTAAGAAGTCACCAGCAGATGTATAAAACAAAATATAAATGCATGAAAAAAAACAACCTATGCTTGAAAATATTTAAATCTTATTTAAATACAGCAGTCATAAATACATAGGGATATAGCTTCCCTGCACTGAACAACACAAACAGCATTCCATAATGTGCACAGATTATTTCACTAAACTTCAATTTGTAGATTTAAATTCCCAGTGAAAAAAATCTGATTGGAATAGCCAAGCTGTATTTCTAGCAGAATATTAATTTTTTTTTACAAATCATCTATTTTAGCCTGAATTTTGCCAACCTAATTTTTAATTTACTACAATTTTAGAGTTTAGTGAATAATTCTGTTAGCAGATGGCTGCAAGTTCGGAATTTTATGATGAAACAATGTTATCACGAGGCAGGCTTGTAGAGTGTGCAGATTTCATAATTTTAGTTTGTATAACTAGACCTATGGTAGAAAGGGCCTAAATTATAAACGGGTATTACATTAATGAACCATTCTTACATTTTAAAAGAAGTCTCCGTAACACATTATGCAGCTTTTTATGTAAAAACATTTACTTTGTAAAATTTGTAAAATGCCTTCATTAAAATCAGTGGGATTTTTATTGCACTTAGTTGTGGGATTTTTATAGCACTTAGGTATGGTGTGAATCATCCAATCGTCCACTGAAATAACATGGGGCCCACGCATTGGATTCCAATTCCGTGGTGATTGAGGAACCACTGTGTCACATACCAAAGGCTAAATTAGAAAAAAAAAATCTAGCAATTTGGCTAACAAAATGTCATCTTTTGCATTCCCGCATTAAAGGCAATATCAGAAAACCTGATGTCCATAAAGAATACCGTAATCTCACCCATTGGTAAATGACTTTGCCCCACTCATCTGGTCTCCTCCACATGATCAGGAATCTGGATTTGGTTTTATCCAACCATTCCAAGTTACCTGCAAAAGAAATAGCCAACAATTTAAAACAAACATTCCCTTAAATGGTCAGACTAATAAACTAGATCTTATACATAGACCATGCCACTACAGTCTTACTGCTCAGTTCTCTACCATCTAGTTTTTTCCAATGTATAGAGCTTACCAGTCACATAACAAATGGGATAAAAATATAGTTCCAAATGCAAAGTTAGAAACACAAGACAATGCTTCAACATGCTTTTCCCTCTGTAGTATTGTCAGTTCTGCTTCTGCCTACCAGAAGGAAGGTGGATTTCCTAAAGCTCTGACTAAAAACCCTGCAAAGTCCTATATGTCTCAGAGATTGACATAGGGTTGGCATTTTGCAAGTGGGTTTGCGTATATTCTGACAGGCAACATGCAGAATCAGCTACTTTCCTGCAGAATCAGCTACTTTCCTGTGTCTTGAAATGATGCCTTGTCATACAAGTCCTTTTGGCTGGTGGCATATCCTTTCTGACCTTCTTCTCAAAGGGTCCCTTTCACTAAACTTTGAATTGTAGCAGATTTAAAATCTGAATGGCAAAACTATGTGGTATGGAAAATGAACATATGACAATTCCCAGGTTTTTCCGGATAGGGCCATTGAGCCTGTAGTTCAGCCTCACAAGTCTGTTACCCTTATCATTGAAGTGATGCTCTTCCCATGGGTACATGGAAGTCATTTTAGCTTTCTTGCAAATTAGATTGAAATGCTTCAAGATGGATTGGATAATGAATTAGCCATAAGTATATTGAAGTGTCAGATTTTGGCTCATTTGGTGCTCTTCCACTATAAGCTGGCTACTTGTCTGGAAATCCAGAACTTTGTGCAGGCTCTGGTACAGATCAATCCTCTGGCATGGCTTGCAACACTTCCTTGGAAGTAATCAAGCCATCATCAACCTGGTGATCAAGCAACTGCAATATGTTCCTTTTAAGCTCATGCTCATTCCACTCAGGCAGTTGCTAACTCTTGTGCCTTTTACAATGAAGCTTCTATGGGCCAAATCTCCAAGGCAGTCACTTGGTCATCCTTGCATATATGACACTTAATTTGGCAGGAAGGTGCTCTTGGCAGTTCCTGTTTAGTCACAGTCACTACTCCCCCCTCCCAGGTGCCTTATGTTTTACTCTGCCTTTCCCACACAACTCATGTGCTCTCATCACCCAGAAAATAAAACATTTTAAAATGTTTAAATCTGTAAGAAAATTAACTTGTCAGGTAAGATACAAATTTTGCTATTTTTGAAAGCTCTAGTCACACATCCTCCATAAACACTTCTACGCTTATTGCCTCGGAGTAATTCTGGCCTCACCTTTCTCACCACATCCAGCCAATCTCTATATCAGGTAACGTACATCTTAAAAGCTTTGCATGCATGTATTCATTCTTATCTGATGCAAGGTGGTACTGAGGCACTTGTTCATGCACATAACATTGCAACTCACTCCTGAGCAGTCTTCTCAAACCTGCATGTGGCAAAACTAGCCACTTATTTGTATGAGAGACTGAGTTTGTTCGACTATTTGAGGTTCCCGAACAGAATATGGACATATTGTTCGTCAGTCGAACCAACCACCGAACGGGGAGACCATCCAAGGGAGTTATGTGCCTCCAATTGACTATTGTAACACCAGAAAACCGCAAGGTTCTAAATGGTCGGATGTTGTTCACAAACGCACAGCAGTGTTTGGTCATCAAGTGCGTGGAACTATAATCGGACACTCGACTGCGCGAAAACACTGCTGTACTTCCATCCTGTTTGTACGTTAATTTCCCTTCATCTAGAAAGAGCGGCATTCGACTTAATTTAATGAACGAACATCAGGACATGACTACCCAATTCATGAACATTTTTATTTGTTACTTTAATAGTGAAAACTCCCGAAAGAAGACCAGTCAAAGTATACAACCTCATGGAACTATTTTGGGGCTTCACCTCGTGGTTGACCAGTCTAAACTTCACTTGAATGGCATTCCTGTACTACCAAACGGATCTGAGCGGTATTTCGACAGATTGGGCGCTCAGATCCTGGCTATTCGGTGAAGTGTCATTCATGTAGTTCTGATTAATATTATGGGAGTTATGCTTTAAAATATTGTTTAATTTTCTGTACTTGGGAGATAATCTAATTAAAGAATTGTCCTTACGCAATTATCTTCCAAGTACAGAAAAGGATCTTGGGAAATGTGTCTTTGTTCCCTGTCCCAAACAAGGTCCCCCATGGGAAAACCCCCGGAATGTAATTGTGGCGAAACCGGCCTCGCCACGTGTCCTTGGAGGGGGCTGCTTGCCCGCCTCTTGCCTTTGGACTATGGACCAGACTTTATGTGAATGTGTTAACCCAGATAGCTATGCCATGGAGCCCATTCGTGTAGTTAAAGACTTCGGCTCCATGGCAATTGAACTGTGTGAATAGGATCTGAGCGCTATTCGGTAGTTTTGTGCGCTCAGATCCCAGCTATCTGGGGATATGTGAAATGTCTGTGTGTTATGTGTAAAAGGTGACTTTATGTATTTTAAAGTGTTTTATGTCTTTTTGCAACCATGTGCTCAATAGAGTCTGCCTCTATCCCTGGATAATTGGATTACTTTCCCCCATTGTCTCCAGAATAGAGGGCTCTGTAAAACCTGTTTGAGCCAGATATCCATGTGCCAGCCAGGGCCCAAAAGATACTTTTACTAACTTTTGAACCCCTGGTCGGACTCATGCCATTTTTTTAATATGTTGTTACCCTGAATGGATTGATTGTGAATATGTAATTTTATGTGAATGTGATGTATGGTTTTAAAGTTATGAAACTTGGGTAGAAAGTATGTTTTAACTGTATGTGTAATTGAGTTTCCTCTCAGGATAAGGGGAGGGAATATGTGGGATGTAACTGATATGTGATTGGTTGTTTTATACCTCCCTGTGGGCGGTCCTGTATGTGAAAGGCTGTAATAAAAACCAGGCTGGGTGTCCCAGCACAGGAGTTCCTGCTTAACCCTCAAAGTGAAGTGTCGTCTCATTATTGGGGGAAGGATTTATTGTATGCTGTTCCAGTTTGACTGCTAGGAGAGTAAACCTATTTGTATGGTTCCTATTCAACTGTCTACAGCATTCATTTGCTTGGGAGAATTTATTTGTTTCTCCGGTTCGGTGATTGTGGTGTCTGCCAGAGTACTTGGAGTCCTCAGGAAGCACTAGGAGCATCCTTCAACGGAGGTACCCAGTTGGGGTGCCAGGCGATCCGTTACAGTAATTAAAGAAACCCCTTGCATGGGGAATTGTATAAGAGCCAGCTGTGGCTCAATAAAAACCAGTTGACTCCCAAAGCTGTGTATTGTCCAGTTCTTGGTTAATTGGAATGGGAATTGCCACGCTACGCTTCTCTTGAATGCTGATTGAGTCTGCCAGTGGAGATATTGCATTTAATACTTCTACTCTGCAATACCCCACTAAGATTGTTGTTAGGAACGCTGCTGCCATGCTCTTATTCCATATCCTCTACTCACACCACACCCCTTTGTCAGTAGAGGAATTTGTAATACTCAAATATTGCCAGCAACTAAGAATAGCGACAAGAATAAAATATCGTTTGTAATAATGTAATTAATTAATCTATACAAGCCCATGCATTACATACAATAGCATTATTAGGAATATGAAAATGTCACTCTAACATTTTTATATTATCATCATCATTAAAAGAACACTCCAAGCAACATAAGTACTACATTGCTCTCAACATAGACAAAACACACCAGAGTAGAGAATCCCCAAACATAGATCAGCCAACGTGAAGAGAGGGAGGGAGGGAGGGAGGAAGAGATAGATATAGATATTATATTCTCTATCTCTCCAAAATAAGGGATGAGAGCACTTTTTGGATTTTCCAAACAAGTATATTAGCATTTAGAAAATGGTGACAATTGATGTTTCGACCCGCAGGTCTTTATATAGCAAATGTCGAATTTTACCATTTTCCAAATTCTAATATATTTGTTTTGAAACTAGTGCTCTTATCCCTTATTTTTGCTACAAATAACGCTGTGCGGCACTGTGGTAATTATCACTGTTTTTCTCATATTCTTTAGGCAGAGTGCCAGATTATTTATTTTATGAAAACAAACAATGCATATCATTGAAATTATAAATAGACTCTGAAACTAAGTCTCTATTAATTTGACTCTCAGATCTATAATACATACCATGTGTCAATTAAATACTACACCACAGTTTGTTTACATTCTGTATAGCGTTTCCCCAGAAGTTAATATATTTTACCTTTTTTCCTGAGTTCCTCTAAGACCACCTGAACAGATTCCAAAGACAATTTTCCTGTTAGTTAAGGCTTTTCAACAGTACATGAAATGTTAGGGTATATATTCTACCCTTGTCTATCACCACTGCTCCCTCCCCAGCTAAGCGCATGTGCACGAGTCCAATCAATATTTATGTCCTTTATGATAAGTATTTGATTGGACCCCACAAGGGATGCCTGTGAAGTCGGAAGAGGCATAGAAACCAGTGAGAGAAGCTTTGCCAAGTGCTGGACAAGTAAATTATTCCTTATTGTACAGCTTTTTAAGGGGAACCTAATTACCAATGCAGCATTCTGAATTTTAAAAAATTAAAAAAGGTTTCGAGTAACCCTTTAAGGCAGCTGTGTAACCCACCCAAAAAAGTTTTTGAGCGAATTAGAAAGATAATTTTTCTAATAAAATGCTCATAAATACTAAAGTGGAATTTCATTAAAAAAATAAGACAAAGTAGGGACTACTTTGTCTTGCGATAAATGCCTAACTTGAACTTGAAAAGGCACCATTGTCAAGTTTCACCACTTCCAACCGCTAGAGACTGTTGTAGTAATAAAGCATTGTCTCATTTATTGTTAGATATCTATGGAGGCTCCAGTGGTCTTACAAATTCTCTATAAACATCACTGTTGTACTTTCTCTCATGTGCAAGAGTACAGCACTGATGTGGGCTCTTGGTGGATAAAGTGCCAGGAGCTGAAGATCGAAGATGGCATCACCTGATGGGGGCCGCATCAGGTTAATGTAACTCACATCTGCAGCACCCCTAGGCAATCACAACTTAAGCCTTGATGTCTTTGCAAAATAAGCAAACACCACGGAATGTAACAGAATCACTAAGATTCTAAAAATGAGCAACACAAAAGACAGCAATGAGAGACTGATGGCTTTGTTTTGTAAAGAGCATATAAACGTGGAACATTGGTAAGTTATTCACAAATGTTCCAAGCAAGATAACTAATATGGCATGCTATAGTGGCTATGGTCTAACAGTTCCCTGGTAACTAGTCAAACTGTCTACTGGGTACTGCTCCCTGTCCCTTTCCTTCAGTCATGAGAGCCAAAAGCTCCTGTTAGTAGAATTTATTAACTCTCCTGACCGAAACCCTGCAGTGCAAGGCCAGCTCTTTGAATGAGATCATCAGTTGATCAATCTCAGCCAAATAGCTGAGCCCTGTGACACCAGGTTTTGCTCAGGCTCTCATTGAGGCAGGGAGCGGTGCCCATGGACCCCAGGTAAGATGTCAAACTTTGCATCATAATCACTACAGCATGCTGTAGTTGCTGTGGTACCTGTAGTGCTCGTTTAAACACTCCATGTAGGGAGTAAAATCTATAAAATGCCTTTATGTTGGCTAACTAACACACACATTTTTTTTTCTATATTTACTTAATGTCACATATTATATCAATTATATTAGGTTTATTTACTTCAGCATATACCTATATTTGATAAAATGTCGCTGTACTCATACTGGCTGAAAATTATTTTCTTTGCTATAGATTTTGTAGCACATCTGTTTCTATATTTTCCACGTCTATTTAGAAAGGATACTTTGTATTTTCTTGTTGTTAAATAGTGGGCTTTCCTGGATTTCCATTACATTCAATGTGTACAGTTTATTGTGCCTGCAGTATGAGAGGACTAAGGAACTCCACGCTGACAGCTGTTTCTGTCTTGTATCAACATTAGGTTGTAATCTAAAAATACAAAGCAAATAAGTTGCATGAACCACACTAAACAGTACATTGTATTACAAGTCCAATTGCAAAGTTTAGTACCAAACAGCTGATTTAGAAACATTCTGATACTTTTACTACTTGACTATTCTGACATAAATATTAAATTTCGACATTACATTCATCGTGATTCTGTTTAGTGAATAAACCCCATGGTGTTGGGTGTAACTTTGACGGAGTAATTACCCGAAAGCATTTCCCAATAAGATTTTGTGTGATTCATTATGTGTATGAAATACAAAAAAAAAAAAAATAAAAGCTTTAAAGTGTTCATGGTATATTGGTATTAAATCAGGTAACACTACAACAATGCATCAGTATTGTTTTTTCTATTATTTGAAGTTTTTACTGACAACTTCCTGCTTGCTGCCCGGACCTCTGAAATTGTGACACAAGCACTTTGAACAGTAAACTACCTTTAAAAAAAATACTTCTCACATTTCCCTAGACCCAAAATGTGACTACCCGAGATTCTCACGTGTAGAAGGGGGGGAAATTGTACTGCCACGGCCACTCGAACCCCATCTCCACTGAGTCTCTCTTTATTTCTTCCGCCTAGGGACAGGAGATGCACTGGATGAAAGGTTCCGGATTCTGTGTTCGTCCGCAATGCAGGGCAGCGATTGGCTGACGTCAGCGGTCCACCACATCCAATCTTTAGAAGAGGTGACTGTGGGCTGTTACTAAGTGTAACAAGGAAGTGTACTTGTTGCTCGAACCACATGCTCACGAGCGGCAATATAATTGGCAGCAGGTTTTATCCAAGAAATCTATGCTGTACATGACTCCCAGCTAAAAATAAATAAATATGCACAATCATTATTATTACCAGAGTGCCTTAGTGAGTACCGTTTATTCAACGTCTGTTGTTTGATATAGATGCCAAATATCATAACTGAAAAACGTGACCTTAAATGGACACTGTTTCACCAGAACATCTACAGCTTAACGTAGTTGTTCTGGTGAGTATTGTCAGTCCTTGCAGACTTGTTGCTGTAAACACTGCTATTTCAGAGAAAAGGCAGTGTTTACAGCCCATGAACTCCTCAGTAATAATAATGATTGTGCGTATTTTTTAGCAGTCATTCATGAACAGCATTGATTTCTTGGGTATAACCTGGATGGACCATCATCCTGGAGGCACTTCTCCAAGATGTCATCACGTAGGTATCAGAAAAGGTAAAATATGCCTTTAAATTAATTTTGAATTTTTTTTACAATTATTGTACACGGTAGGGGTATAAAACCCCAATTAGAGGGGGCATGACTGATCGCTGAGCAATATGGCGGCATAAAGGAATTGCTCTAGCACTTGAGCTCCAAATGTTGATTTTCAGTGCGAAAGAAGCCCCAAACCCGGATCGAATTGTGATGTCTCAGCAAAAGACTAAGAAGAGACCTTTGAGAGCTGAGAAGCTAAATTTTCTTAGCCAAAAAACACTACCCACGTGTATAGCCACGCTGGCCGACTCGTAATATAGCGACGAAGACTATGAAGCCAGCAACCAAGTCTTAACTGCAGCCAGTCTAACTGTAGAAGCCCCGGAATGCATAACTAAAATGCATAACTAAAGAGTTCCTGGCACAACCTCTCACCATGCTCTCCAGTAAACCCATTAGTACCTGGCAGAAAACTGTTGACTCTCTGTCCAAAAACTGGGCACACGAACCTCCCATGTGGAGAACAAGCTTAGAGAATATGCCACAGCATACAACAACATGGCGGACCATGTACAATCCCTGGAACAGACGATAGAGGCCATGGAGGCACGGATGGCTGATGCGAAAGATAGGGTAAGGAAGAACACCCTGAGGCTTAGGGGATTACAGGATTTGTCCTTTCCTCAGATCTTAGGCCTACTCTGTGCCTACACCCCAGAAGTACCAGTAGATATGCTCCTAGTGGACAGAGTCCACCGATTCCTCTGCAATATACTAATGAATGTACTTTTTCGAGTTTATTATTACCACATAAAAGAACTGGTGCTCAGATCCAGCCGGAACCAAGCTCAGTCGCTTGAAGAGTACCCCAGCACGAAGATCTTTGCGGACCTGTCTGCAGCAACACTTAAGAGCAGTAAGGACTTCCAGCTTATAGTCGAGGCTCTAAGGGAGCATGGCATCCGGTACCAGTGAGGATACCCAACTAAGATGTTGGTCACATGCGATGGAGCAATCAAGGTGATCAGATCACCAGAAGAAGGCCTGTCTCTGCTTCAGACCTGGTGCATACCCTTACAGCAGACCCCGGAAAGAGGCCTACCACAGACAGACTGAAACAAGAATGACACAAATCGCAGAAACGCTGAACTTGTTCACCCAATAACCCGCTGGGCAATCAGATTCTCTAAGCCGCAAGTACCAATAAGCATCAAGAAACACTAGGCCTCTATATCCCTCTTGCTTTCCTAGCTTGATTTGTCTTTGCTACACCTTTTCTCTTTTGGCCATTAGAACGTTTGCTTCTGTGATGCTAATGCTAGCTCTTTATGTACACATATATTAGAATGTCACTTTTAATGTTTGACTGTATAAGCGTTTGAATGCATGGCACCACATATGTTACGCACTATAGGTCTTCTGGGGGTCACCTAGCTCAATGTCCCACTCAGAAATTACCCTTGGCAACTCTTATTTATGCTCCACCCATGCACAGTCCAATAATATGCGAAACACCTGCTTAGGCCAAATCTGCAAACATACAAAAAAACAGGGGCAAACCTTTACCCACTTAATATTAAATTAGAATATAAAATAAAATAAAAAAGGTAGCACCAATATAATTAGTGTACTAAGGAATGTAAAAATCTGGAAGTCCACAAGAATATCAGATAAATAAAATACAATAGGTTATAATAACCTATGGAATAGCAGAAATAACAAAAAGCAAGTATAAAAGTCCACAGTGATGTCCAGTAAAAAGCAATGGAATATGCTAAGCATTAAAATATCCAAAATAAGATAGAACTTGCAAGTAGAAGACAACTAGGTCCTGTCAGGAAGATTCTTCTATGGAAATACCAGATCAGGATTCTATCGGTATCCGTATAAAAAAAAAATGAAAATACATGTAATTGTGCAGTATGCAGCATCAAAGAGTTGTTCTAGTAGATCTAAGGTCTATGTAGTCCTACTCACATTTAGTAGAGCTTAAAACAGCTCTAGTGTGGACAGCGTACATTGGTATAATCTCCACTTATAGGATACGTGAAGTGATGTAGTTTTGCAGAAGTCACAGCAGTATTGAGACCATAGAAATAAAAATATTAAAAGAAAAGAAAAAGCAATAGTGCTTACTGTATATAAAAGACCAGAAGTGTTACATTAATAGTAGTTTACTGACATTTGGTGGAGCAGGCGAATTGCTCATGAATACAGCATATGTGGTATAATCTCCACTTCGGAATCTTTAGAGTAGTCCTTACTGGAAGTCAGGATTCCTTAATAGAGTTGAGCGTACACCTGGATGTTCGGGTCCGGCAGGTTCAGACGAAGTTTGAAAAAAAGTCTGGGTTCGTGCTCGAATTTGACCACAAACCTGAACCCCATTGAACTCAATGGGGACCCGAACTTTTGGGTACAAAAATGCCTCTAAACAAGTCCTGGAAAAGGCTAGAGAGCTGCAAAAGGAAGTAAAATGTGGGTAAGAGTAGGACAAGTGCCCTGCAGACAAATGTGGATAGGGAAATCACTGAAAATAACATAAAAATTAAAAATACAGCTGAGCCATAAAATAGCACTAGATGGAACCTTTGATTTTAGCTTTGGAAGAACATAAATCAAAACCTAAAGCATGCCTGTCAGGAGGATCACCAGAATTATCCATTTGAGAGAGGGTTGGAGCGCAGGGTATTCTCTTTCATTGTTCAAACTGAGCTCAACTCCTGATGCATGGAGAAAAGGCCTTCACAAGCCTCTATTGTGTTCATAGTTTATACTAAGTGACCCATAGGTTGAGGAGGTGGTGACCGTGGTGGTGTTGGTGGAAGCAGCGGTGGAGGAGGAGGAGGTAGCGAACACTGTTTTTTTATATATATATATATATATATATATATATATATATATATATATATATACATATATATATATATATATATATATATTTTTTCTTAAGTGGGGTAGCCCCCAAAATATTGGGACATATAAAAAACGACAACTCTGTTCCGCAGAGCGACTGACCCGTGCGTGCTGGAGCTGAAACTCCACTATCGCCTGCTGCTGCTCGCACAGTCTCATGAGGCAGTGAGCGGGAAGGCCGAAGTTACCCTGAAGGAGATTAGGAGAAGTGCGCAAGGAGGTTAACGGCACCTGGCATATTACCAAGAGCCACCCTCAGAGGAGATTGACAGCAGGACGTTTTTGGAGGTGCAAGCCTATGTCCTTGCCAATAGACAGAGAGTGACCTCCATGAACCCAGATGATGGAAGAAGGGAGCAGAGGGCACCGGGAAGCACAACCACCCTGGCCCATAAGCTACCATACAATGCCTTCAAAGACAAAAGAAAAATGGACAAAAAGACGCTTATAAATATTAAGAAATGGTGCAGCTAAAAATTACCCAAGTGTAATGTCACCAAAATACACTTATAAAATGTGATAAATTCAAGGAAGAAAGGTGATTAGCGCACACATAAAAGGATAACTTTGTTTTACCGTACATAAATTGTATCTCTGGTAACCACAAAGCAAGTTCTTTTTTGACCTATATATAAACAGATAAATCATACATAGTGTAATCTGTATAAGAATTAATAAAGTGAGAAAATATTTCTTCAAACTCACAATTTTCAGAGCTATTTAAAAGTTAGCTCTAGACTTATATTGCTCATCATCTCATCCTTAAAGAATACAATGAGAATCCATCCAAATTGTCCACAGGAACTTGTGGCTGGTAAAATTCCAGTAAGTTTCAAAGTCCACGGAGGATTAGTATAAGAAAGTATTTATTTTCACATAGAATTCAAAATAAAAAATATGTATATATATACAAATAAGATATAAAAATAGCACAACGGGTTTCAACCTTTACATAGGTCTTTCTCAAGTGCGTCTAACTTACAACTGGGCTAGAGTGCCCTTTTATAGCAAAGAGTAATTGAAACAAAGTACATAATTACAGATAAATGTGTATCCACTACCACCCACTTCCATTTATGGTCATAGCCGGAAGTGTCATGCCATCCAAAATATGGCCGCACCTCCGGCTATGAATCCCATTCTTCTTGACCTCCCCAACATGTCCGATCACATTCTCCATTTTCTATCAGGAGTCCTGTTGGGTCTGATTTCTTCCGGGGACGTCACATCCTGCGGCCTGAGTTCCGATACGTCACTTCCTGTGACATGTATATTATAATTTCTCTTGCAGTCACATGACTCACGAAGCTCGTTCTTTTCGGGGGAGCTCGTCAAAAGCACGGAGAACGTCCTTTATCCAAATGTAAAATGTCCTCAGTTCGGAATATTTGTATACAAATATTGTGCCCATACTCTGCCCTGAACCGAAATGGTGGAAATGAAAAGGGGCGTATCTAAGAGAACATACACGGACTGTGGGGAACACTGATGAGGACGGCATCTCGTGGAACCGGAAGTGACGTCACACGCACGCTATATCGTGCGCGATGACGTCACGAAAGGTCAGAATATGCAGCACGACGCATGCGCCCAACGCCGTCCGTGGTTGGCAGTATCACGGATGACGTAGCCCTAACTCCTCCTATCCAGGAAATAAAAAAGAAGACCGGCGGCATGGACGGCACCGATTGAGAAAGCTGAGGATCAGCGAAACGCGTCTCGGACAACAAGACTGTACATTTGGTCTGTTATTTTATATACTTTTATTTATAATAAATACTTGTTAATTTTTAATCTTCAAAGAATTGTCCATGCTGCTGTAAAGGAGGGTAGTGACACCCTATATTGTCACATCTACTATTTTTACTCAGAGCCTAGTTCAAGGCTCTGGACAAGGTGAGAAGCCCTAATTTACTTTCATTTATATACACTCTGTTTGGGATCTCTGCACCAAAGAAGCTTCTCTCTCTTTGTCTCTGTTTAAGGTCTGCATTTGATATGGAGGATACAGGTGTGTGTCACCTTTAAGTACACATAAGTGGAAGAGATCAGAGCCGGTCCTCAAGTGGCTCTGTATCATGTGAGTGGATCCATTATTGTGATTATTTACACCACTATCTCTCTAATATACTACACTATATAGTGTTTATTTTTTCCCTTGTAGGGAATTTACTGTATTACATTGTTAACCCTTAGGGGTAAGTGCTAATTTTAATCAGCGCTACACACTTTGCTCTGTACACCGGTTGGTTTTATAGTGCACTTTTGTATAATTATAAGTCTAGAGCTAACTTTTAAATAGCTCTGAAAATTGTGAGTTTGAAGAAATATTTTCTCACTTTATTATTTCTTATACAGATTACACTATGTATGATTGATCTGTTTATATATAGGTCAAAAAAGAACTTGCTTTGTGGTTACCAGAGATACAATTTATGTAAGGTAAAACAAAGTTATCCTTTTATGTGTGCGCTAATCACCTTTTCTTCCTTGATTTTAATGCTTTCAAAGACTTCAAGGAAGCAGAAGAAGGCATCGATGACTTTTTACAAGACTTTGAGCGCCAGTGCCAACTCCAAGACGTGGACCCCAGCGACTGGGTCACCATCCTGGCCAGCAAACTAGTGGGGAAGGCAGCGGATATTTACCGGGCTGTACCAGAAGAGCAGATCAGAGACTATCCCTTTATTACACAAATCCTCATGGCCCGGTATGCGGTCACCCCCGAGCAATACCGCCGAAAGTTTAGGGAGACCAGGACAGGGGAGAAGGACTCCCATGCGGAGTGGGCATGCCGCATCACAAGGGCCACCCAGAACTGGCTCAACTCCCATCAAGCCAAGTTCCCAGAGGAGATCACCCAGCTCGTCATGCTAGAGCACTTTTTCAATGGGCTCCCCAACGACACGGCTGGTGAGAGACCGCCAGCCCCAGACCCAAGAAGTATTGGTAAGAGCTTCTGAAGCTAGTTCATGATATCCCTTTGGGCAGGAGCCGGACAGCGTCTCAGCTCACCCACAGCTTCTTCTGGCCAGGCATCTCTCAGGATCTGAGGCAGTACTGTCAGACATCTGCCAAAGAGTGGGGAAGAGAAGGGCCCCCCTCCATCCGCTACCTATTAGTGAAGATCCGTTCGGCAGAGTAGCTGTTGACATTATAGTTGCGAAGGCACTTTGTTGACTCTAGAGAACCTCGGGCCTATCGCACGTCCCAGTGACAGTGACTTTGCATTTGGATGTCATCCATATCAACTTTCGATGTCAGTTTCTGCGCCTACCATGGTGACCACAGGTAACGGGGAATCAGGGTTGGATTATGGAGAGGGAATCTGAGAAATGGCTACCACATGCAAGGAAGGCAGCAGGCGTGCAAATGACCAACTCCCGACGCAAGAAGGTAGTGACATCAAATAACAATACAGGACTCTTTAAAGGCCCTGTAATTGTAATGAGTCCACTTGAAATCCTTTAACTCTGATCAATCGGAGGGCAAGTCTGGTGCAGAGTGACTGACCTGTGCGTGTTGCAGCTGAAACTTCACTATCGCCTGCTGCTGCTCGCACAGTCTCTCCAGGAGTTCCACCTTGTCGGCACATCGCATATGAGGCGGTGAGCGGGAAGGCCAAAGTTATGCTGCAGCGCAGACAGGCAAGCAGCAGCAGGGTGAGAATGCCAAAAGCGCGCACAGCCGCTACAATGAATGTCACATCCTGTTCCAAATTGCGGATCAGTCTGGTGATGGCTTCTGGTATCCAGTGTTACGGTTGCCTCCAGGCTGGCTGGAAGTTGGACCGTAGAAAGGATGCTCCTAGCACTCACCAAAGGACCATCAGCACCGTAGACACCATAAGTACTGTGTAGACCACCATACGTACTGCAGACTCAACAAACCACCGCTGCTGGGCTAGGATCTCGCCGTCTGCTATCCACCCTGGACCTACGACCAGGCTCCAGGTTCCAGTAGGTGAACCTCTTCCTTCTGTAGAGTGAAGCAGGAACAGGAACAAGAGCTCTTACAAGAGCTCAGTAGCTAAGGGAGTATGAAGAGCATAGCAATCCCTGTAGTGATTATAGCTGTCCCCTACAAACATGAGTCAAGGCTGCAAGTAAGTCATTCTGTTTATTGGCACACAAAGAACCTTCTTTTATGCAGGTTTCCCTGAGATAGGACCACCCACTGGGTTTTACACAGCAACCAATAATAAACGTACATTACAGAAACACTCCCAGCAATTACACACACAAATCCTCCCCTCTGCCTGTGATCTAATTATGGTACACAATGGGTTAACAGAATTAAACACAGGCAGTAAAAATACAGTTTTTATCCATACACTGTAACTTTAAAACTGCACATCCAATCTTCATAACAATTACATATTTGGAATCAGCACACTTAAAACATAAACATAACCAAAAATCAGCCAAATCCATCCAGGGGTTAAAAAGTTAGCTGGATGTCCCTTTATGACCGAGCACATTTTCCTGCCCAAAACAGTTCCATAGATTTGGGCTGTGCGGTCGGTCTATTTCAGGCTGAAAAAACGACTAAGTCCCATCGTCGAATGGGACTTAGTCTCTGCAGCTGTAAAATTAGGATGGAAGAAGGTAGGGCTCAGCGGTGTTCGCGGAAATGTGTAGCCGATTTCAGTTCTATGAATTTGGCTACACATACCGCTGACCTCGTTCGCATTAACAAAGATGGCCGCCGCCACGTGTTTGGCAAACGAACAAAGGCCACCCAGCATTCGGCAATTAAGCTGCGGTTAACCACAGCTTCTGGGAGGTAAATTGCCTGCACACTTCCACTTCTGGGTGGTCTGCCTGTGTGGTACTTGGTTCAGTAAGCCCCATTTACTGAACCAAGTGGGAAATAGCCAGGCACAAAGAGTTTTAACCAGGTCTGGGGACACAGGGGACAACGTCTTAAAGGGGCAGTGTCCCCAACAAGTCTGGGGACACCGTCTTAAAGGGGCAGTGTCCCAATCTTCCTGACGCCCCAAAAAGGTGCTTAAAGGGCCAGCACCAGTCCCATAAAGAGTCCATAAGCCCCAATATGCCCACCAACAGTCTTAAAGGGCCATACACACCAAATAAAAGTGCATACATTTTCACAGTCTCCCAGGGGCCATAGTCATGTGGAAGGAGGCTGGCAAATAGGCTTCTCCACAACCCAGGGAAGCAGGGCAATTTGCCATTTAAAGGGCCAGTTACAAATAGCAGTTTGTAACATTCAGTACTCTTTTTACTGAAGCTGCATCAGGGTCCTGCTATGTGGCCGCACAAACGCTGGTGCTCAACATCAGGGGGCATGTGGTTACCCTGCACCAGACCCTGCTAATCCATTCCACACTGTGACTCCTAACTTCAACATCAGGCATACTGGGTCCCGGTCGTTCGACTGCCGCCCAGACAGTGTCTGGGTCCCGGTCACTGGACTGCCCTCCTGACTATGAAACTACGAATGGCTCGTTAAATCTTTGCAGTTTGGGTTCACTCAACTCTATTATGGATCCTTTGATCGCTACATCTCTTACTTGGATAACTGGTAATTCTCGAGATAATACATGCCGACAAGCGCTAGGGGACGGCCGCTCCGCTTTTGCACCCTTCTCCCGCTTATGCTGTGCTGGTGCCTCTGTGCGACCAGCGCCTCTTCCTCTAAACTGCACACGTCACTCGCATGGCCTTGATTCCATGTGGGGTCTAAGACCTCATCTACCTCCACATCCTCTTCCACCCACTCTTCAACCCTACCCTCCTTGCCGGTCTGCACACTGCAGAAAGCCACAGCAGTTGGCACCTGTGTTTTTCCAGCATGTAAACTCTGCAAAGGACATATGGGAATTGTTTTAGAATTGTATCCAGGCAACAGTTTTCCCTATAAACTGACCTCTCAGTTTGACTTGTGAGGGTATTGCCCCCGAATTACAATATTGTTATATTGGTATTTGACGCTTCTATTTAATGTCAGATATGAAGTGCAGGTCGCAAATGTACTATTTAGCAGTTTAGCACCAAAACAATTAGAATGTTTACAACTGCGCTGTAAGCACACTATTTGACACTTCTATTTGAGTCTCAGATATGAAGAGCACGCCCCAAATGTACTATTTAGCAGTTTAGCACCCCCAAAAATTGACTTTTTAAAACTTACATTTTCAGAATCAGCATACTCCAAATACAAACATACGTCAAAATCATACAAATTGGTTCAGTGGTTCAAAAGATAGATCGTAGTCCTTTGTGACCAAATGAAGCATGGCTTTTCTGCCCAAAACCAGTTCCACAGAGTCTTCTATCCTGGAGATAATTGGGAAGTAATCCAATTATCTCCAAGGACAGAGGCGAAACTCCATTGAACACATGGCAGCAAAAGACAATAAAATACATAAAAATATATAACTGTGCAGCCATTGCATAAAACAGGTACATTCAACATATCCCCAGATAGTTCAGATCTGAGCGCACATTATTACTGAATGGCGCTCAGATCACACACCTACTGTTCAAATGCCATGTAGCCAAAGTCTTTTCCATAGTCTTTCATTATACGAATGGGCTCCATGGCATAGCTATCTGGGGTATCACCGCTCAAACAGGGCAAGCACCAAATGACCTGGCTTTCGTGTCTTTGCAGGGGAAAATCAAGCGTTTCAACATGGGGCCATAGTCTAAAGGGAGCAGGCGGGCAACCAGGCTCCTCCAATGCAATGTGGTGAGATTGCTCTTGTCACAGCGCACTATTTGACTCTTCTATTTGACTCTTAGATATGAAGTGCACCCCCAAAATGTACTATTTAGCAGATTAGCAGCAAAACAATTAGAATGTTTACAATTGCTTTATAAGCGCACTATTAGACGCTTCGATTTGACTCTCAGATATGAAGTGCACGCCCCAAAATGTACAATTTAGCAGTTTAGCACCCAGAAAATAAGAATGTTTACAATTGCGCTGTAAGCGCACTATTTGACGCTTCTATTTGACTCTCAAATATGCAGTGCACCCCCAAAATGTACTATTTAGCACTTTAGCAGCAAAACAATTAGAATGTTTACAACTGCGCTGTAAGCGCACTATTTGATGCTTCTATTTGACTCTCAGATATGAAGTGCACCCCACTAAAATATTATTTAGCAGTTTAGCACCCAAAAATTTTTAAGTTTTAAAACTGCAACGTGACAGCAGTATTTGACGCTTCTATTTGATTCTCAGATATGAAGAGCACGCCCCAAATGTACTATTTAGCAGTTTTACACCCCCAAAAATTGACTTTTTAAAACTTACATTTTCAGAATCAGCATACTCCAAATACAAACATACGTCAAAATCATACAAATTGGTTCAGTGGTTCAAAAGATAGATCGTAGTCCTTTGTGACCAAATGAAGCATGGCTTTTCTGCCCAAAACCAGTTCCACAGAGTCTTCTATCCTGGAGATAATTGGGAAGTAATCCAATTATCTCCAAGGACAGAGGCGAAACTCCATTGAACACATGGCAGCACAAGACAATAACATACATAAAAATATATAACTGTGCAGCCATTGCATAAAACAGGTACATTCAACATATCCCCAGATAGTTCAGATCTGAACTACTTTAATCTGGCCCTGATCACAGCCATGTAGCGATTACCCCGTGTATCAGAGGGGTTTCAACCGCTGGAGGGTGTCCTTTTCCCGATCAGTGAGGAGGATTCTCAGCATCCAGTCGTGTTCCAAGTGAAGAAGCTCTTACAAGAGCTAGTGTGAATAGCTGTTTAGCGGTTACCCCCAATAAATGACAGGACTCTAGATTGAGGGTGAAGTAGAACTGAGGTTTAATGGCAGGTACTCTCCTTTTATGCAGTGCTCCCATGCAAGGGAGACGCCCACATACAATTAGACATTAACCAATCAGACAATGGTTACAACCCACAGATTCCCTCCCCTCTGCTTGGGAGATAATTGAGTTTCTTACTGTATCTACTCAATTATCTCCAAGCTAAAACTTAGACTTTTTTATGCATTTTTATAACTTTATGAATTTTCATCCTACAGAAATAAAACTTGTATTTTTATGAACAACACAACTTGGGGACAAACATATTCCAAATTCGTACAAATCCATTCAGTGGTTCCAGAGATATTGAAAAGTATCTTTGGACCGACCACACGCCTGTTTGCATGCCCAAAACAGTTCCACAAATTCAGGCTGTGCGGTCGGTTTATTTCTGCCTTGAAAATTAACAAAGTCCCATCCGAAGGCGGCGTTCGAATAGTCGAATGCACTTCGACTTCTGTCGAAGTGTTGAAGTAAAACGGAGATAAGTTTCCACAG